GATAATACATCTTGAGAGTAAAAACCCAGGGGCAGAGTACATAATATTTGATAGAGTCCTAACCTCAACATCGGAGTAAAGGGATTTAGGAGTAATAATTTCAGATGACTCAAAGGTAGGCAGACAGTGTAATAGAGCAGCAGGAAATGCTAGCAGAATGCTTTGTTGTATAGGGAGAGGTATTCGTAGTAGAAAGAGGGAAGTGCTTATGCCATTATACAGAACACTGGTGAGACCTCACTTGGAGCATTGTACGCAATACTGGAGACTGTATCTCCAGTAGGATATTGATACTTTAGAGAGTTCGGAGAAGGGCTACTAAACTGGTTCATGGATTGCAGGATAAAACTTACAAGGAAAGGTTAAAGGAACTTAACATGTATAGCTCGGAGGAAAGGCGAGACAGGGGGATATGATCGTAACATTTAAATACATAAAGTGAATCAACACAGTAAAAGAGGAAACTAAATTTAAAAGAGGAAAAACTACCACAACAAGAGAACATTAGCTTAAATTAGAGGGGCAAAGGTTTAAAAGTATCAGGAAGTAGTGGATGCATGGAATAGCCTTCCAGCTGAAGTGGTAGAGGTTAACACGGTGAAAGAGTTAAAGCATGCGTGGGATAGGCATAAGGCTATCCTAGCTATAAGATAAAGGACTTATGAAAGTATCTCGAAAATCGGGCATACTAGATGGGCCAAATGGTTCTTATCTGCCGTCACATGCTATGTTTCTATGTAATTTAAAAATAATTTTATATATACTCTCTCTGTTTCCCCCACCCCGTAGTGTTGCTGTTGTACATGGAGAGCAGCTGAGCTAAATCTATGACTGGTGTACCGTATAGCTTAACTGGGCTTGTCTTTGAAGTACCATATCAAATGTACACCTGAGTTTTATGTGTTCGTTTTTCTTATTAATTTCAAGTCATACTAACTACTATACTGACATAGTACAGCTGATTAAATTTTGTTTAGAAAATGACTTAAAAGGACATTCCACTGTCCCAAACGAATATACTATTTAGCAGATATACCCAAAATGAAAAAAATGATGCATTTCATTTTGCATTTTTTTTCTTTTGTGGTTATATCTAAAAACATCTAGCAAAAGCTGCAGATCTCGTCAGGCTTCCCAATGTAGTTCAATGATAAGTATTTCAATGATATGTGTTTGAGGGGGTTTGGGGGTTAACAATGTTAATTTATAAAAATCCTTTTTATTTATATTTTTTTAAAATTTTATTATTGGAACACATTTCATGCATAAAGCCCTTCAAAGTACTCTAGTACTCTAATGTTTTAGACTACCTGACAGGCAAACTTCATTATTACATATTTTACATTTCAGTGATATTTTCCTTTTCGTTTTATCACTGCTAGAGTGGCCTCTCAAAAACCCAGACTTTATTTTTATTTTAGGATTCTGTGATGTTAAATGGTTTTGGCACGGTTGTAAATGCTCTTGGAAAGAGAGTGAAACCTTACCTACCCCAGATCTGTGGTACAGTCCTGTGGCGTTTGAATAACAAATCTGCGAAAGTGAGGCAACAGGCGGCTGATTTGATATCTCGTACTGCAGTTGTGATGAAGACATGTCAAGAGGTAAGTTATGTTAAGCTTATACATGGTTTTGTGCTCTTCTGGAGTTTTTATATTTTCTGCAGCACATTTATATTTGCTTTTTATTTTAGGAAAAATTAATGGGTCATTTGGGTGTTGTCTTGTATGAATATCTTGGGGAAGAATACCCTGAAGTTCTTGGAAGCATTTTAGGAGCACTGAAAGCAATTGTCAATGTCATAGGTAATTATGTAAACAGTATACCATAATTTTTGGGCTGTATGTACATATGTAGATACTCAATATTAAATTCTTGTTTATTAGGAATGCATAAAATGACTCCACCTATAAAGGATCTGTTGCCAAGGCTTACACCAATTCTGAAGAACAGGCATGAAAAAGTGCAAGAAAACTGCATTGATCTTGTTGGGCGCATCGCTGACAGGTTGGTTAACCTATGTATGCAACTTTGTACACAAACAATAGCTTTGTAATGACACACAACCTGCTGTTATAGCAAACTGTAAATATCTTCTTGTAAATTTAAATTTATATTAAAGGGATTAAACCGACATTAGATGAGTCTTTCAGTAAATCTTCCAATGTAAAAAGTGTTTTTGACAATAACTGTACATTATTCTAAGAACTCTAAAGAATGTGAAGTGTAATTACAAGAAGGAGGCATAAATGTGGTTGGATGACACAATGGCTTTTAAAAACCACTTCTTACGAAGCCTGTCTAGAAATTCCATACCATTTAGTTACTTTCCCACCTGTGTCCACCGAACTGCTGCATCTACTGAACAAACCGCTTCCTTGCTTGTTTAGGTTTTATATTCTGTTTCAATGTAACTTCTAGCCACTGTAATCAAACATTTTTGTCAACAGGGGAGCAGAATATGTGTCTGCAAGAGAGTGGATGAGGATTTGTTTTGAACTGCTCGAGCTGCTAAAGGCTCACAAAAAAGCTATTCGAAGAGCAACTGTGAATACTTTTGGTTATATTGCAAAAGCAATTGGGTGAGTAATTTCTATATTCCTTGGTTACGAAGAAAATTTATATATTTTTTTGGTTTGGGTAGAGTTTTTGTAAAGTGATATCCTCGATTGATATGCAGTGTACATGCACACATCTCGTTGATATTTATAACTAACAAAGAAAATAAATGTTTGCGTTCCAAATATTGTATTAACCCCTTAAGGACCGAGGACGGTTCAGGACCGTCATCGGCATTTTTGCCTTGCCGACCGATGACGGTCCTGAACCGTCCAAACGGTCTGGGGGTACTTACCTGATCGCCGTCGTTCCCCCGGCGGCGATCAGTGTTCCTCCGGTTGTGGGGAGACTGCCTGCAGCCCAGACAGTCTCCCCACGACAGATTAGGACCCCTGTGGCCATGTGATCGCTTAACACAGCGATCACATGGTCACAATAGGTGTCCATAGTGCTGCCTGCAGGGGGACTGCCTGTGCTGACAGGCAGTCTCCCTGCAACTGTAAAATCAAAAAAAAATAAAGTTAATGGTAATAAAAAAAATAATAATAATTATATATGTATAAATATGATATATAGACATATATTATATCTATATAATATATGTCTATATATCATATATATATATGTCATACTAAGTGTATTTTTATATTAATATGTACTTATATTAATATAAAAATACACTTATAATTAAATTACACACGTATATATATAATATATATAATAACTATATATATTGTATATATATATTATTATAAAATATAAATAATAAGTAATTTAAATTAAATAAATTTTTTTAAATAATAATAAAAAATTAAAAAAAAATTATATAGCTATATGAAATTTTATTCTAACTGTATTTTAAAATTAATATATATATATTTATATCAAAATACACTTAGAATGAATTTGTATATATATCTATGTATATAAAAATAAATAAAAATAATAAGAAATATACATATGTCCATATACAAAATTACATAAATAATTATATAAATATACACGTAGACTTCAAATATATAAATATGCATATATATTTAAATTCTACGTGCGTATTTATGTAATATTTTTACATAATTCAGTAATTTTATTGATTGCAATTTGAGGGACCTGCCTGCCAACCCAGGCCGAAATTCCAGAGAATTTAATTTGCTAGCACTGTATTTTACCCTGTAACGTTCTACGACACCCTAAAACCTGTACATGGGGGGTACTGTTTTACTCGGGAGACTGCGCTGAACACAAATATTAGTGATTCACAACATAAAACATATCACAGCGATGATATTGTCAGTGAAAGTTACTTTTTTTGCATTTTTCACACACAAACAGCACTTTTACTGATGATATAATTGTTGTGATACGTTTTCCAGTTTTTAAACACTAATATTTGTGTTCAGCGATGTCTCCCGAGTAAAACAGTACCCCCCATGTACAGGTTTTATAGCATTTTTGAAAGTTACAAGGTCAAATATATGGGTCAAATATTTTACATTGAAAATGGCCAGGTTGGTTACGTTGCCTTTGAGAGCGTATGGTAGCCCAGGAATGAGAATTACCCCCATGATGGCATACCATTTGCAAAAGAAGACAACCCAAGGTATTGCAAATGGGGTATGTCCAGTCTTTTTTAGTAACCACTTGGTCACAAACACTGGCCAAAATTAGCGCTCAATTTAGTTTTTTTACTTTTTTCACACACAAACAAATATGAATGCTTACTTTGGCCAGTGTTTTCGACTAAGTGGCTACTAAAAAAGACTGGACATACCCCATATTGAATACCCTGGGTTGTCTACTTTAAAAAAAATATGTACATGTGGGGTGTTATTCAGAGATTTATGACAGATAATAGTGTTACAATGTCACTATTGATAAATTTTAAAAATGTATGTTTTGAAACCGCAATATCCTACTTGTACCTATAGCCCTATAACATGCAAAAAAAAGCAAAAAAGCACGTAAACACTGGTATTTTTAAACTCAGGACAAAATTTTGAATCTATTTAGCAGTTTTTTTCATTCGCTTTTGTAGATGAGTAAAAGATTTTTCAAGTAAAAGTCAAAAAACATGTATTTTTTTCAATTTTTCATCAGATTTTTGTATTTTTTTTAAATTAAAATACATGAGATTATATAAATAATGGTATGTAAAGAAAGCCCATTTTGTCCTGAAAAAAACAATATATAATTTGTATGGGAACAGTAAATGAGAAAGCGGAAAATTACAGCCAAACACAAACACCACAAAAGTGTAAAAATATTCCTGGTCGCAAATGTACAACATCGCAAAAACAGTCCAGTCCTTAAGGGGTTAAAAGTTAGATCATTTGAAAAAAATATGGATGAAATTGCTAAGACAAAGGATGCCTTTAGATATATTATATGTTTCATAAAGCTGTTTATAAAGATCAAAATAGTGTATGATCAGGCTTAAAATTTCCAATAGCCATTTTCAAGGCAAGTAGAACATTAGCCCTGGTGAATAAATTAAGGCTTGCAGTGACAAATGCTCTTGAAGCCTGGGTAAGTAGGACATTACCTCAAATTGATTGTACTGGATGACCTTGCTTTAAGTTACAATTCTATGGCCCGTGACTTTATTTTTTTAATTTTTTAGGCCTCATGATGTGCTTGCTACTCTACTCAATAACCTGAAAGTCCAAGAAAGACAAAACAGAGTGTGTACTACAGTAGCCATTGCTATTGTAGCCGAGACCTGTTCACCATTCACAGTTCTACCTGCTCTTATGAATGAATATCGAGTGCCAGAACTTAATGTACAGAATGGTGTATTAAAATCTCTCTCCTTCCTGTTTGAGTACATTGGAGAAATGGGAAAAGATTACATTTATGCCGTAACACCACTGCTGGAAGACGCTTTAATGGACAGGTACAGAGAGCTATTGTTCGATAACGTAAAAACGAAACTATAAAACGCACCTTGTCTTTCATATAACATGCAAATTGCAAAAGTTATGCTATACGGGAGTTTTAATTATAAGGGGTACAGTTTGCAGAGAGGTGCATGAAAGGAACAAAATCCTTGTTTGTGTGTAATTAGATAAGTGCTTTTTGTTTTTAAGTAAAGTGATACTTGTTCTAATACCATAGATTCTGCTGCTTCAGTAAAACTCTGCAAGAAGAATATTCTGTCTGGTGAATCACTTCATGATTAACACTATTCATCAGATACTAGTAATCTGTGTTCTAACCATTACTACTACTTTTCTTTATACAGGGATCTTGTACATAGACAGACTGCCAGTGCAGTAGTTCAGCATATGTCTCTTGGTGTGTACGGATTTGGATGTGAAGACTCGTTGAACCACTTACTAAATTATGTGTGGCCCAATGTGTTTGAGACTTCTCCACATGTAATCCAAGCAGTTATGGGGGCTCTTGAGGGTCTCCGGGTTGCTATTGGGCCTTGCCGAATGCTACAGTATTGTTTACAGGTAATTCATATATCTTAAACGCCCTTTTGTTCCAAAAAAAACCAACTTTTTATATGCATGTGTGGACTTGTAGTGTGTTTTTTGTTTTTTTCCCATTTAGGTTTGATACTAAGGTTGTTTTTAAATGCATGTGATATTAATTCTACTTCTCCATTCTTGTGAGACAGAATGGCTGGTTTGGACAAGTGAGATGTATGTTGTATTTTTTTATAAACAAAATGCATATTGAAGATAAGCCAATACAATTTTTAAATTCATGAAAAATGTTGCCTGAGAACTTAAATGGCTTGAGTAGAGCAACATTTCAAAAAGCCCTTTAGTACATCTACAAATATGGCAAATTTGAAGAAGAAATAATTTCTGTTGAACAAGAATATAGTGTTGAATATAAAAAAAATAAGCAGAGTTTTATTCTTTAAAAAAAAATCCACAATTCAATACCGCACTCAAATATATGAATTTATGAAGTTGAAAGTCATTTGATGTATATGCAAAAAAAATAAAAAAAATTTATTATACAAATTATGTACACCAATTCACAGGTAATGTGCGAATCACCGTAGTAATTTGATATCCTTATGAATTCATTGATTTTACAGACTTTATAGTACATACATCCCAGAATACGTACAGTTATCTACAGTCTATATACACAATCTAAATAGAGTTCAATAGTTCCTTGTTGTTCAAATGGATCCACCGCTAAATAGTTCTCTGTTTAGAAAAATGTATATTCAACACAGAAAAAATTGAAAAAATAAGTTTAAAAAAAGAAATATGTGAACAAGAGAAAAATATGGAAAAAAGGAAAAATTGAGAGAAAAATTAATAATTGTTTTAAAATGTTTATTGGTTTTACAATATAAATTCCAAAGCAAACGTATTTGTGTTTAAGCAGATAGGTGCCTGCGCAGAGGTGTAGTCAGCAATACATGTGTAAAAAAGAGTTGTTGCCTTCGCAGAGGCATTAGAATTTATTTACTTGTTTTGCAGCATTTAATTGTGTATGTTGTTGTGTACCTATTGTAACCCTTACTATGATAGTTTTCGATTTTATTGTTCACGTTATCGGGTATGTTGTTGGTCGCCTGTACCTGTGTTTGTGTCGGGCAAAGCCGCTTGCTATGTTGCGTGGAGAAATTTTTTTGGGGGGGTGGGTTGGCTACTGTGGCAGCTATGCGTTGTGGTGGCTCTGTGGAGTTTTCACGTGAGCTGAGTCATTTGTGGTGTACACTTCGTTGTGTGCGTGCTGTGTGTGTTGTGTGATTTTGTCAGTTCTCTGCTGGCTGTGTCTTCCCGCCCTCCCCAACGTCAGTGCCTTTTGCCGTGGCTTTGTGCCACGTTTTGCGCCTGCTGGTTGTCGAGGTTGTTGTGCTCTGGCTTATAATGTAGTGTCTCCGTTGTCATATGTTATGTCGTATGTATGTCCCTTCTTGGTGCCCAGTGTTGTTGAGCGGTCCGTTGGTGTGGTCTGCGTGTGTGTGGTTCATGGCCCCTCGTGTCTGTGTGGAGGTGTCGTGCTTGTGTGTTCCTCTAATTGGCTTGTCTGATATCTATGGTACCATTTTCATTGTCCGCCTTTTCCTGGTCGATCTCGTTTTTGTTCGGTTATATAGTGTCTTGTGTGTCTAGGGGTTGGGTATGGTGTGGTGTTAGGCCTGGAATGTGGTCCTGCGTGGTAGCTATATGGTCCCTGTTCGCGATTGTGGCCCAATAGGTGTTTATGTGTGTGACATGTCTGTCTCAGGTGTCTGCGGTTGGCGTTGTGGCGTGGTGGTGTCTGGGTGTGGGTTAGCATGGTGTGGGTCGGGTGGTCTGTGGCTCGTCGTGCCTCGCTGTCTTCTGTTCGCTTTTTTTGTTTCGCTTTCCCCCTTCTTTCCACCTCCGGTTACGGCGCAGTTAGGTGGTGCCTGAAGAAGTCTGACGTGGTTAGTCTCGTCCAGTGGAACCAGCGTTTGTTATAGCGGTATCTGATTTGGGGTATCTGCTTTCATGTCCTTGTGGCTTCCACCTCCTCTATCCACCTTGTTATGGTGTCGCCATGGTGGTATGGTGTAGGAGGAAGGTGGCTGGGGACTGTGGCAGGAGCTCATCCGTGACCTCATGTATTATTGTCCGTATTCTTTCCCAGAACGGTCTTATATGGGTGCATGTCCACCAAATGTGTATGAACGTACCGGCCTCCTCCTCGCATCTCCAGCATGTGTCTTGGATTTCTGGGTTCCTGGCGTGAAGTGTCGTCGTTGTCAGGTACCATCTGGTAAGTATCTTGTACGAGTTTTCTTGTGAGCGCGCCGAGCTCGGTGTTTTTTGTATCAGGGAAAGGCTTTTGTCCCTGTCCGCTTCCGTCATGGTTTCCTCAAGGTCTTTCTCCCATTTTTCTGATGAACGGTGGCGCTAGCAAGTATCTGCTTGTGATTAAGATAGTATAGCTTTGTGAGATGGCTCGCAGTGGTTCCTTGTCTTGCGTGCAGAGAAGTTCAAATTGTGTTGGTTCTCTCAGTATGGATGGTTGTTGCAGGATGGATCTAGTGCATTGAGTAATTTGCGCTCTTGCTAGAGCGTGTGCGAATGTGTGTGGTCTGCTTGGGTAAAGGTCATCCAGTGGTCGGATGTCGAATGGTCGGAGGAGGACGTCTTTTATGCAGGGTATTGTTTTGTGTCCCGCTGGGCCTGGTGTGGGGCCATAGTCCCCGGCCGGGAAAGTCTGGGTTTCCCTTTAGGGGCAGGAGCGGGCCTGGGTCCGTTGTCAGGTATTGTTTCGTGCCTTGCCTGTGCCATACCTACATGGTCGCCGCCACGAATGGGTTGGTAATATGTTTGCTCCTGTACGCTGCCCTGGAGATCCATGGTAGGGTTCTGAGGTCACAGCTGGTTATCTCTGCTTCTAGTTGTGTTTGGTGCCGCTGGCTATCGACCAGCTGATGACTCTTCTGTGTGCCGCGTGGTAGTATTTTTCAAAGTCGGGGAGCGCTAGGCACCCTCTGAGCTTGGGCAGAATCAGTTCGGTGTGCGCTATGCGTGGAGATTTGCCCTTCCAGATAAAAGTGCGAACCTCCGTCTTGAGTGTCGAGAAGAACGTTTGTGGGGCTCTTATCGGCACTGTTTGAAATATGAAGAGTAGCTTCGGCAGCAGAGTCATTTTTACCGCGTTCACTCTGCTCAGCCAGGATATGTAATACGATCCCCATCTATGCAATTTCTCCGTTGCTTTTTTTAGTATTGGGAGGTAGTTGTGGGTGTATGTGAGCCATATCCCCAGAAATTTCATGCGGTGATCACACCAGCGATATGGGTGTTGTCTCTGGGTCATTTGTTTGTGTGTGGCTGATAGGTTCAGTATCTCCAATTTTGTGAAGTTGATTCGGAGGTTCGAGATGTGACCATATATGTCGAATTCTGTCTATCGCTCGTAGCGATATCTCTGGGTCTGTAACTACGAACAGCATGTTGTCCTCATATGCCAGTTTTGTGGTGTGTGTTTCCGACTGTCAGTCCCCGGATGTCTGCGTTGTCGGATCCTGTTTAGGAAGGGCTCCAGCGTCAGCGCAAAGAGTATGGGCGAAAGCGGGCAACCCTGTCTAGTTCCGTTGTGGATCTTAAACGGGTCTGTCAGCGCGCCATTGATCTGGATTCGCGCTGTTGGGTTGGTGTACAGCGTCTGCACCCAGGCCATGTAGTTTGGACCGATGCAGAGGGAGCGGAGTGCTTCAAACATCAGGTCCCAGTCCACCCTGTTGAACGCTTTCTCTGCGTCCGTGGAGTAGGGCTGGGACTTTCTCCTCTCACGTGCGCTATGAGGTTCAGGGCTCTGATGGTGGTGTCACTCACCTCCCTGCCCGGGATGAAACCCGTTTGATCTGGGTGAATTGTGGCTAGTAGTAATGGTGCCAAGCGTGCCGCCAGTACGCTCGCCAGAAGTTTGAGGTCTGTGTTCAGTACAGAAATCGGTCGATAGCTTGGACATAGTGTGTGGAGGTGTCGTGCTTGTGTGTTGTGCTCCTTATCCTCCTTTGGGAGAAGGGTGATGTTCGCCGAGGTGAATTGGGCTGTTGGTGTGTCCTGGATAGAGTTCAGAGCTTTCAAAAGTTTCGGTAATAGGTCATTCGCGAAGGTTTTGTAATATTGGAGGGGTAGGCCATCCAGTCCTGGTGCTTTGCCCGTTTTTGCTTTTGTGATGGCGTGCGCCAATTCCTCGGGAGTTATGAGGGTCTCTAGTGCTTCTTGGTCTACCTCCTCTATTCCTGGTATATTCGCTGTGTCTATGTATCTGCGGATGTCCTCGACTTTTTGGGGTCTCGGTATTTCTGGAGTGGCTTGGCGGAGGCAATATAGGTCCTGGTAGTAGTCGTGGAACGCTGTCAAGATCTAATCCGGTAGGTGCCTGAGTTGTTGTGCGTCTTTGATTTTATGGATATATAGTTGGTTTCTGCGTTGCTTTAGGAGATTCGCTAACAGTCTCCTGCATTTGTCCCCGTGTTCATGGATCATATATTTGTAGTGTTGGATTGCGCGGTTCAGGTGTGTGGTGAGTTGGTTCCATTTGGCCATTAGTTCCTTGTATACCGTGTCCATGGTGCGTTTGTGTCTAGCCTCTAATGTCTCGATTTCTTTACTGAGTTCTAGTATCGTCTGTACCGCCCTCTTTTTGCGGGTCGCACATATCGTGATGAGTCTGCCTCGAATAACAGTTTTGTGCGCTTCCCAGCATGTCAGTGGGGTGACATCGTCTGTCTCGTTGTCTTTGAAGTAATCCTGTATGTGGTGACTGACCTGGTCTTCGACCGTGATGTCTGATCGATTCGTTCAGTCGCCATGACATTTGTCTGAGTTTGTTTAGTGGTGACTTCATCCGTATGCGAATTGGGCAGTGATCAGACCATGTCATCGGTAGGATTTCCGTGGTGTTGAGCAGGATTAGATTGTGATGAGGTACTAAGAAATAGTAGAGTCTTGTATAGGTCGAGTGAGTCGTAGAATAGAAAGTGTCTGCCAGCTGGTGGAGGTGTAAGAGGCGGAGTGTGTTGGCGTGGATGTGGAATCCTGGTCCGGGTGTATCGCCAGGTTGAGATCTCCTCCTATGATCACGGTGCCTTCCGCGAATTTCATCAATGTGTTCAATGTACTTCGAAGGAAGTGGTATTGTTTCGTGTTTGGGGCGTACACGTTAGCGAATGTGTACGTTTGGTCCAATATTGTGCCTTTTGTGAAAATGTATCTGCCTTGCTTGCATCTTATGGTGGCTTGCTCCGTGTATGGGACTCGCCTTGAAAAGAGGATGCAGACTCCCTGTTAGCGTTTGTCCTGGTTGTGACTGAAGTATCCCGTTTAAAAGTTCCGGACTTTCAAGGCTGGTGCCCTACCTTCCTGGAAGTGCGTTTCCTGGAGAAACGCTATTGAAGCTTTGTAGTGTTTCAAGTCACGCAGTAGTCTTGTGCGTTTCTCCCTGACGTTTAAGCCGCGTACATTATAGGAGACTATGCATAGGTCCTCCCTGGTGAATCCACTGGGTTCTTGTACCGGCATCGTCCAGGCGGCCCGAGGGGGCGTCGGAGACGGGGCGGGTGGGTCTTGGGCATGTATATGTGTGCGGCTTGGTGCAGTCTGTTTTGCGTCTAGGCTCCGGTTAAAGCAGTATAGGTACTTGCTGTTGGTTGTGTCTTTGTGGGTGCGGAGGATAACGGACAGGTGTCCCGGTTGTTCGACCTATAGGTCCCACCCAGTGGTGTGCCTGTGTCGGTGCCGGGAGTGGTACGTCCCCTGCTAAGTGAGGACTTTTGTGTCCTATGCTTGTGGGGGTGTCAGGCTATATGTCAGAGTAGGCTTGGACTGCCGCAAGCAGTGTCGGGGGCCGCTTTGTGACTGCGCTTATGTGGTGCGGGTCTTGAATTGCATTTTACATCGCATGCATTGGGTGGGGCCCCTTCCTCCCCCGGGTCATTTCATGGTGGGTTTCGGTTGATCCAACTTGGGGACTTTCACTTGATCCTCATTGCCATTGATCCCCTTAGCGTCTATGCTTATTGTGCATCCATGTTTGGTGAATGCGGTGTCTTACTTGAAGAATGCGCCTGGGGTCCCCCCTCACCTCTGGTGCCTGTGTGTTTTACCTCAGGATACCTATTTTAGATCTCCCCCTGTCATCTCCCACCTCCCATTTCCCTCCCCCCTCCAGTCCTGCGTTCAGTTCCCTTTCTCATTCTTTCCCTCCTCCTCTGTTTCCTTTCCTTGTACCTGTCCCTCCCATCCATCCATCCCTCCCCCCCCTTCGTCCTCCTATTTCCCCCTCCCCTCTCTACTCTCAGCCGCTTTGCTTGTGTTTCTATTTTTTCCCCCCTAGTCTCCGACCCTTTTATGTTGCCATCTTAACCCTCCCTCCCCATTGGTGGTTTTGTTAATTCGGCCCAGGTGTGTCCCTGTTGGTGGCTCCCAGTATTGTGTCCCGTATCACGGCTCAGGCGAGTTGCACTTTCTGTGCGTCTGCCTGGCCTTAGCAGTGCCAGTGTAAATGACCCCGTACCCTTCCCCAAATGTCTTGTCTTGCCCCCCCCTTGGCTCTGCCAGCGTGCAGTGGTTTTTCTCAGCTTGGAACCCTTGCGCTTGGTTGTCCCTTCGATCTGTGGTTTGCTGCGCTCCAGTTCCCCCATGTCCCTATCCCCCACCCCAGCGTTTGTCTGCATGGCTGGCATGCTTTCATGTGTCCCCCCCAAATAGTACTCACAGTCCATTTCTCTGTGCTGCATGCAAGTCCCTGGTCTTGCGGCGTTCAGTTAGTGCTCCTGTTCACGCCTTGCCGGGCCTGGGTTCCAGTCTCTGCGGCGCTGTTGCTGGGGCCTTTGAGGGCCCTGCGTGGTTGCTGCGGTCCAGGCGGTGGTTGGAGAAACGATCTCGCCAGCCAGTCTGGTACTTGAAGTGGTGGTAGGCCCATGGCCCGGAGAAAACCTGGGAGGTTGCCTGGCCTCCTCACCACCAGTTGATCCAGGCCGTGCTTAGCTGAGTGAGAATGGGTAGCCCCAGCGATACAGTATTCCTGCCTGTTGCAGGGCAGATGTTACCGGGCGTAGGGCTCTCCTGGCTTGGAGGGTGTATCGGGACACATCTTGATAAATCGATATGTTTTGGCTCTCAAAGTGGATGGTCCCCATGCGGCGAGCCATGCCCAGAATGTCTTCCTTCAGTTGGTAATATTCTAGGCAGCATATGATATCTCAAGGTTGTTCTTCCGGTGCCGGCATGGGCCGCAATGCCCTGTACGCCCTGACTAGGGCTAGTCTGGGTAGTTGCTGGCCCCCCAGTACCTGGGTGAACAGTCGTTTGAATATGTCTGGTATGTGTTCTGCTGGGCCTCCTTCCCTCGCCCCACGGACGCGCAGGTCCAGTCTGCGGCCGCGGTTGTCTAGGTCATCTATCCACGTGGTGAGGCTGGCAATGTCAGCTTCCTGGTTAGCTACGGCTGAGTGTCTGTTCCAGGTCAGTGCAGAGTGCCCTGGTCTCAGACTCTGCCACCAACATAAGGGCCTCCACATTGGCCAGGTCGGCACGTAGCTGGGCCACCTCCTCCCTTACTACGCGGCCCAGGCGGTCAGACAGGGCCTCAAAGTCTGCTTTGGTGAGTATGTTTGCCAGTATGGCCCTCCACTCACCCTTCTGCGTGAGCTGCTGGTGCTGGCGATAGTCTGGCCGGCGTGGAGGGGAAGGATTCAAGTTCCTGGCTTGCGGCCTCTGGCTCCCGCTGTGGTGAGTGAGCGCGGGTTGCGGCATGGAGGTAGGAGCGGATGGATTGCTCCCCTTCTCGTCCCGAAGATCTCGGGGTGCCGTTGGGTCCGTTAGCTTCTTCGTGCGACCCAAATCCTGTTGTGTGGGCGAGCTGGATGCGTGGGTGATTGCGGATTTTCAGTGGGCGACACGAGGAGCTCTTGTTTTAGGCCTCCATCTTCCCCGGCTTGGTTGGATCTCACCAATTGAGGATTGCAATCCCAGACTTCAAATTATCCAATAGTAGTAGGATGTCCAATAGTTGTTAAATAAGGTGTAACACCAGAGTCCCTTGATATGCAGACCGGGAAACCAGGGTAGGCTCCTACAGTGGGTAAGTCCAATATTAGAACTCCTTCTTGTTGCTAGGCTGTGCTGGGCATGTATAGCTGCTTGGCTGTTCTCACTCACGTCCTGCTCAATATGCTAGGTATGTAACCACTGGGCTGTGCTCTCGGGACGAACCAGTCCCTTCAATGGCCCCTGTCACAGTATGTCACAGCACCAACCAGTAGAAGAGTGCCAGTACATTCTGTGTTTTTTGTAGAGTTTAATTCTTTGCTTGAGCATCTAGCAGAACAGAGGTTAATCTTTGGACTGCTCAACATAGTCTAATCTAAATATTGTTAAACTTATTTTTTTTTTTTTTATATATATATATATATAAATGTAACACACCAAGCACTATAGCCTGCTGTAGTAGTTATGGAGCAGGATTGTCCTGGCACACTCGCAGACAAATTACCTTGGTCCATCCAGAGTGGGTGTACATCGCTACCCAACTATGTATTTAAAGGACCCCTATATTGCCAGGAAAACAAACTTTTTCCTGGCACTATAGGGTTATTAAGTCCCCCCCCACCCTCATTGCTCCCCTCATGCTGCGCTGAAGAGATAAAACCCCTTCAGCCACTTACCTTTCTCCAGCGCAGGGCTCCCTTGGTGTTGGTGAACCCTCCTGCCGATGTCAGCACCAAATGTGCGCATTCTGCCCACAGTTGCCGTGGCTTGACTGGGTGCCCTGGAGCCGAATGGGCTCCAGGAAGTCCTTACAAGGACTTTCCCAGATGAATCCCCTGCAAGCTGGAACAGCAGACACATGAGTAAATATTCTTTCCCTCCAATAACAGGACGACACACAGTTTTTAAGTGTAAGCTGGAACTGCATTTTAATGGAGGCACACTGGTCTTTTATGCAAGTTTCCCAACAAGGGTAACCCCAGGTGGACCTTGTTGGTCACAGGGGCACAAAGTGAACAAACAGTCATGCAGTAAGACACTCCCATACACAAACAATAGAATCCCTCCTCTGTGCTTGGGAGATAATTAAATCAGGAACTGTACTAATCTAACCTAATTATCTACAAGCACAGAAAAAACACAATTTTATTCAACACCAAAAAAGTACCTTTAAAAACACACAAAATCCCATAGTCACATCCCCTGATCGGTCAAAAATATGACTTCTAGGAAATTCCTGAATCCCTGAACCGATCTGGGTGATTTTTGGATATGTTGTTCACCCAGATCGGTTCAGGGATTCAGGAATTTCCTGGAAGTCATATTTTTGACCGATCGCAAACATGGCCCTATGCCCAAAACAGTTCCAGGGTAATCAGTGCTAACAGTCGGTCAAGTTTGGTAGTCTTTTAAAGGTTTCCTTGCAAGGCCTATAGTCTGTGGGCAGGAGGCTGGCAAGCAGGCTTCTCCAGCAGCTTGTGGCAAACTCAGTTAAAAATGTGATTTTGCCACAGTAAGCACTGCTATGTTTTCAGCTGTGGCGTTTAAACTAGAGGGACCTGGCACCCAGACCATTTCATTGAGTGGTCCTTTGAAACGTTCATAGCCTGTTAGACTATTTTCTCATATAAGGTGTCTGGGCCCTCCTGGCGCCCTAACCACTACAATGTGGAGTAGTATTGCTTAGTTTTCATTTTAATGTAAAGTTTTTGTATTGGCATTGCAGTGGGGTTGTTATTTGTATACACTGCATACCTATAGTGGGATTTAGAAGTTTGTGCCAGCATTTTCAATGCAGTATTTTGTTTGCATTAAGAAATTGTTTTATTTAACAGTGAGATACATGCATTGAAGTATGTATTTCTTCTTTCTAGGATACCTGTTTTACTTTGAGCTAACTACTTCCTGGTGATATCCCTGAATGCATTTAATATTGCCATTCAAATAACATTGCCAGTACATATACATAGATCTACATCAATGTGGATTTTATATATTTTTTTTCTCTCAATAGGCTGTTTTAGTTCATATCAATTGCTGTACATAGTTATTCCATTGTTATTGTATAACAAATTCATACATTTGTTTTTCATTTTGTTTAGGGCCTCTTTCATCCTGCAAGAAAGGTTAGAGATGTATATTGGAAGATCTACAATTCAATATACATTGGTTCACAAGATGCTCTCATAGCGCATTATCCTCGGATCTACAATGATGAAAAGAATACCTATATTCGCTATGAACTCGATTACATCTTATAAAAATATGGAGTCCCCTGTGTTTTTGGGGGGTTTTATGGGGTTTTTTTTTTTTTTTTTGCCACCGTTTCTATATTAACTTTGAATTTGATGTAAAATTAAATTTATTGCTCACTAGAGCTGATGGTCACATAGACAAATGTCATACCGCATGATATTTTTAGAAGCAGTCTGTTTTGATGTAAACTCTTAACAGTAGTGGCCATAAAACCAGTAGTTTGTCTCCACAGGTCTGTTTTTGGTCCATCTACATAGTCAGACATCATTCCTAGTAGTTAAAAAGGAAGTGTATTTGGGAAATAAACTTTTTTTTTATGTATAAAATAAAATGTGGGTCTTATTTGTTCAAAGAAAAAAATGTTTTTGAGGTTTTTTTTTTGTGTGTGTGTGGGAGGGTTAATAAACAGATTCTAAACATGAGTTTACGCAATACCGTCTCTCCTTACATGGATAAGTAACATTCTATGAACTTTATCATCTTTAACAGAATGTGTCAGACTTGAGGTCCATTCAACCTATCCCATTTATAAGGGCACTACACATGCGCGCAAAACATCTTGCTACTCAATCTCTGCCAAAAGATCGGATCGAAAATTAAAGTAAAATCACCCCTTATAACCAAGGGCCTATTCACCTAAACTGACTAGGACACTATAGCATTAGGAATAAACATTTGTTTGCACAGGGGAAAGGGGGGTGCAACTGTGTTTTGTGCTCTCACCTTTTTTCTTAATTTTGCTATTTCATTTGTTTAGTATAGAATTTCTTTTTTTTTTCTTTTTTTTTGGAAGTGTGTGTGTGTGTGTGTGTGTGTGTGTATATATATATATATATATATATATATATAAGTAACCTCGCCACTGGTTTTTGTAGGGGCCTATTTGCCACCCTCCTGCCCTGCGACTATGGCCCTGGGATGTATTGCCCTTCTAGGAACTGATGTGGGCATACTTGAGGCTTATATTGCTGTTCCTGGCCCTTTAATGCCCAAAGAAAGGATTTTGTACTTTTAAACTGGCACTTCGGATGCAGTCGAAGTGGCCGCCATTCGAATACCGAACACGTGGCTGTGGCGGAAGTAACCTCGCCACTGGTTTTTGTCAGCCTCCTGCCCTGTGACTATGGCTCTGGGATGTATTGCTCTTCCAGGAAATGATGTGGGCATACTAGAGGCATATACTACTGTTTCTGGCCCTTTAATGCCCAAAGAAAAGAGTTTGTACTTTTAAACTGGCACTTTGGATACAGTCGAAGTTGTCTTAGTGTGGAAGTCGTCCAAGTGGCCGCCATTCGAATACTGAACACGTGGCCGCGGCCATTTTAACTCATTCGAACGTGGTCAGCGGTGTGTGCAGCCAAATCTATGGAACTGTTTTCGGCTACCCAATTGCACGAACACCGCTGACCCATACGTTCTACTCTACTTCGACACTGCGGCTGGAGACTAAGTGCCGTTCGAAGATTCGAACACTTGTTCGAATGGGACTTAGTCATTTTCTTAGTGTAAAATAGACCGACCGCACAGCCCAAATCGATGGAACTGTTTTGGGCATGAAAATGTGCTTGCGGTCGGTCAAAAGTGACTTATATGTATCTCCTGAACGGCTTCGAATAATTTTTGGTAATGTTTGTATTTGGAATGTGCTGATTAATATGTGACTTTTATTAATATTGGATGTATAGTTTTAGAGTTATGAAAGTTGGGTAAAAAGTATGTTTTAAACTGTATGGATAATTGGGTTACCTCTCAGTCTAAGGGGAGGAGATGTGTGGGATGTAACCATTGTGTGATTGGGTAGTGTATAATTGTCTGTGGGCGTCTCTCTTGCATGAGAGAATTGCATAAAAGCAGTGTGTCGATAAACCAGAGTTCTTCTTCACCCTCAAGCTAGAGTCCTATCTCTTATTGGGGGAATTGCTATTTTACTACAAGGGATTGCTATGCTCTGCATGCTCCCTTGGATAATCACTTCTAAGCTCTTTTAAGAGCTTGCTCCTTCACTCTCTTGGAGGAGAGGTTCACCTACTGGAACCTGGGGCCTTGTCGTAGGTCCAGGGTGGGTAGGAGATGGCGGGACCCCAACCAAGCTGCGGCGGTTTGTGAGTTCTGCGGTGGTTGTGGTGTCTGCGGAGCGCTTGGAGCCCTCGAAGCGCTAGGAGCATCTTTCAACACAGGTACCCAGTTGTGGTGCCAGATGATCCGAGAGAGAGGGAGATATATATATATATATATAGATATATATATATATATATAGATATAGATATATATATTTCTATATTTACATATAAATATATTTTTATATATATATATATTTTATTTTTTTTTAATATATATATATATATATATATTTATTTATAAGCAGAACTGGCTTTTAATGACAGGCACTCTCTTTACGTGATTCTGCCCATGCAAGGGCGACACCTACATTATTAACAGACCAACCAATAAACATAAGGTACATCCCACACATCTCCTCCCCTCAGATAAGATACTAACATAATTAAAACAAACATATTTTTCACCAAAGTTCAGATGTACCCCAAATACAGGCACAAATCCGGTGTCCCCAGATTCTGGGGGACCAACATAGTCAAAATTCAGCCCATTCGGTTCAGCTGTTCGGGAGATATGGGACTTTAAAGTTTTGACCGACCGCACAGGCAAAGTAGCCGAAAATAGTTCCATGAGTTTTGGCCTTGCGGTCGGTGTTTGTGCATTAAAAGTCACAAAAAGGCTTGCCATCCGTGCGTAACTCGACGTTCGCTAGAATCCCCATATGTTAAGTCTTTCTACCGAACGGCCAGGTGTTCGGTAGTTTTGGCTTGTATTTCTGGTGTTATGGACGTCTCAGCGGTGTTCGCCTACTCGAGTGTCCGATTTTAGTTCCAGACACTCAACAGCAAATCACCGCTGTTCGTGCGTTAAGATGGCTGCGAACACGTGCAAAGTCCCGAAATGGCGGCCACCTAAGATCTAGCACAAAGGATTCGTGCATTTATCATGCGAACGGTATATGCCGGTCTGGGAGGTAAAATACCACTTAATTGAACAGCAGGGTGGTCCAGTGTTCAGCAGTTTGTATTCGTCTTTGTGCCTGCTGGATTTCTACCGTATGGATTGCACAAATAGACGAATGCTGGCAACATAAGTCCCGAACTGGGCTATAATAAGTCACATAACCAGGTAAGTCTAATCCCTTGTATTATTAGGCGTAGTAATTGGAAAATATGTCCAAGCAGAAAGTATAGTTCTGTTAGAGAGGTATCCGAGCTAGAGTTCCATAAAGTCAGTAGCAAGAGCCGGTCTCTGTTCGCGTCCAACTACACGAAAACCGCCGTTTGTATGGTACAGCTGGTTACATACAAATGTTCCCCTCGTTCGGTAGATTCTAGCTAGCGAATGCCAGTTTGATTCGTGGAGGGGAACGTATACATCCAGGACTTCCATGGGGACCGGGCGTTCGCATGTTTGCCATGCCGAAAATAGTTCCAGGCAATTCATGCGTAAGCCCCGCTGACCGCATTCCTGAGTTTTAAGATGGCCGCCATCCTTTGTTCTCGCCACGTGTTCGTATGCTGAATGGCGGCCACATAGGAGCAATTAGGTTGCGGTTTTCTCCACATTCTAAAGGTGATTGCTACCCAGGGTGGGTGGTCTCTTGTTCGGTAGACGAATACAATTTTAACACACACTTAAAACAACATTTCACAAGTATTTGAACAGCAGGGAGAAGCTATAACTTAAGACATACATGTAAGTACAGGAAATCCTTCACAATGGCCCCCCTTTTTACTCCCTGCTCTGGCAGACATGGCTGGACCTCTCCTGGTCCAGTAGGGCTGGTGGGAAGTCCAATAGTTATTCTGATAGTAGGTCAGTTTGACGTGAGAGTCCGTCCGTATTCCCATTTTGCTTGCCGGAGCGGTAGTAGATAGTGAAGTTGTTTGGCTGAAGGGCCAAACTCCAGCGCAATAAACGGGCATTGTCCCCGGAGACCCGGTTTAGCCAAACCAAGGGATTGTGGTCAGTAATGAGAGTAAAGGCCTGGCCATAGAGATAGGGAGTGAGTTTGAGTGCCCAGACCAATGCCAAGCACTCTTTTTCAATAGCTGCATAATTGGTAGCAGCTTCCGGCTCAGGTAGGCTACCGGGTGCTCCCCACCGTCCTCTCCGATCTGACTTAGTACTGCCCCCAGTCCAAACATTGAGGCGTCTGTGTGGACAATAAACCTTTTGTTAGGATCTGGGGCAGCCAAATCAGAGCTTTTTTCAACGCTTGGAAAGCCACCTCACACTCTGGGGACCACAGGACTTGTCGGGGTAATTTCTTTTTGGTTAGGTCAGTCAGGGGTTTGGCTAGGGCGCTATAGTCTAGCACAAAGCGTCTGTAGTAGCCGGCTGTCCCCAGGAAGGCCATGACTTGGGTCTTGGTACGGGGAGTGGGCCAATTGGCAACGTCCTCAATCTTAGCGGGCTCTGGCCGTTGCTTACCACATCCAACCCGGTGGCCCAAATATTGTACCTCCGCCATACCCAAGTGACACTTGTCTGGCTTCAAGGTTAGGCCGGCCTCCCTAATCCTGTCTAACACTGACCCCTATGTGCTCTAGATGTGCCTCCCAGGTATCACTATAGATGGCGATATCGTCCAGGTAGGCACATGCATAGTCCTGGAGACCCTCTAGTAAGCGGTCCACCATCCGTCGGAAGGTGGCCGGAGCGTTCTTCATCCCGAACGGCATAAGTTGGAACTGGTAGAGGCCGAACGGGGTGATGAACGCCGATTTGGGGACGCATCCTCCGCGAGGGGAATCTGCCAGTATCCCTTACATAGGTCTATCGTGGTCAGATACCTCCCCTTGGTGATGCGGTTGAGCAGTTCGTCCATCCGGGGCATGGGATAGGCGTCTGTGACTGATTTGTCATTGAGCTGCCTGTAGTCTACACAAAAGCGGGTTGTGCCATCCCGCTTCGGTACTAGAACCACAGGTGAAGCCCAAGGACTCTCGGAATGTTCTATTACCCCCAGCCGGAGCATTTCCTCTATTTCTTTCCGCATCCCGGCTCGAACAGCCTCGGGGATGCGGTAAGGGGGTTGCCTTAAGGGCGCCTGCCCTGGGGTTTCCACTTTGTGGACGGCCAGTTGGGTATACCTGGGTTCCTGGGAAAATGTGGTATGTTTGGCCTCCAGTAAGCGCGTAGCTTGAGCCCTCTCTTGGGGCGCTAGCTGTTCCCCTAACTGGATTCTATGGTCCTTGTCTCCCGGCTACTCCCTAATAGGTCCGGTAAGGGCAACGCTTCTGTGTCCTCGCCGGCAAGGGCACAGATAGCAGTGACCTCTTCTGCCCTCTCGTTGTAGGCTTTGAGCATGTTGATGTGAAACGTCAGTTTCACATCCTCATCCTCGCAGCTGGCTATC